ATATACCATAAAATAAATACATCACAAACTGAAAATTTCCTTTGATTATAATTTGAAAATGTTGCAGATTTCCCTGCATATCATTCTAGAAAGGCTTAATAAAATTTCTGTGTGATTCTATTAAGCAGTATTTCTACAGAAGGCTATTCTATACTAAGGCTTATTCTGATATTTGTGCCAGATAAGTCAGAACATCAACAACAGCACAACATACTTTATTTAGCTATGGCTAATAAACAATGCTAATTCATATATCTTTCTGTAGATAACTGTTTGGCGTACGTTGTCCATTAAAAGGTTAAAATTACACTTGTAATGCAGTTAAATTATGATTAACTAAGAATTTCAAAATATTAGAACACGTTGAGAATCAGAAATTACCGTGAAAAAATAAAAACAGAACGAAAATCTCACCATTTCCACGAACAAAAGAGTATCCATATTCAAAATAAAATGGCAATCCAAAGAAAACAACGGTGCAACAAGACGAACTATGGAACAACAAGAGATTTGTCGAAAATGGCGGCTGACATCAGGAAAATATAGCTGAATTTTGCCGATGCAAAATTTAAAAATTAGATGTAACAATAACTTAGATTGGTGTAGACTTTGACTAATTCAAAAGCTATGCCAATCTAAGATAGTTTCCCCCCCTCCTTTCTCCCACTGATAGGAGAATCTAAACTTCAGCATCACCTTTAGTTGGTCATTGGGTTACCTTAAACGTACATCATAGTTTAAAAAAAAAATATTTGAAGTACCTAAATCCCTTTACTTATTTGCTTGCTTCACTCGCTTGTTTTATTTTACAAGCAAAAAAGTACCTGGAGTATCTGATTCACTTGCTTATATTATTTCACGAGTAAAAAGTACCTAAAGTATTTGATTCACTTTAGCTTACTTGATTCACTTACTTATTCTTGGTGAACCCACCAGCGGTAAGAGGATTACAAAACACGGAATGTTTTGAATGTTGAAAGTATGATCTTTAACATTAAAAGAAAACTCGCAAAGGCAAAGGACAGTTGCATAATTATTAAAATGCTCAGTATGGACTGTAAAGAAAGTTATTAATGCTGATTTGAAGCTTAAAAAGAAGAAAAAACGCAATGCTCATCATCTTTCTTCACGACGTATCGCCGAAAGCAAAACGCACTGCAGAATTCTCTATGAGAAACAATTATTCGAATAGAAATAGAAAAAATGTTATCAAAATAGATTAATCTTGAGCATATTTAAATGATCACAATAACAAGAGATCCATTTATTGTCGTCAAAGAGAAGAAAAAATACCTTAGAACATGTTCAAAGAATTTAAAGAAAGTTTTTTTAAAGGGATTTATGATTGTTGTTGGTTCTTGATATAACGGTAAATAAAAACTAAAGACATTGCAGAAACTGTTAAAGTCAACCCCACATATTATCAGAAACATATTTTTTACCCAGTTCTCAAATATGAAATACTTTCTCTTTACCTACAGTGCCATCAATCAGTAGAACTGCATCAAGACTAAACAAACAGCCGCACGTCCAAATCTACTGTGAATTTCCTGAAAAAATTGGGAACAAGAAACGGGTATCGAGACCATACCCTTCACTCATAAACTCCTAAATCTCCTAATGTGGCAAAACACTTCTTACAAAGTTTTCACTCTTTGATCACACCAGCAGAAGTTTCTTGTTCTTTAAAAAATAATATTTAATTGAAATCCATATTATATTCTTATATTTACCACAAAAATTCAAAAGAATAATTTAATTTATCCAAAATTCGTACGAGAATAAAAAACATAATTTTTTTAGTCCAAAGGAATTTGAGTCCCTAAGGACTATTGCTTTCGCTCTGGCATTTTGCGTCGGACTCCTATAAATGTCAGTTCACTTTTCAAACTGTTGCCACAAAATGTTAGAGTCCTGCATTACATTTGAAGAAATTAAATAATGAAAACTCGCATAATGTCTGTATTTTATCGCTGTGAAAATACGGTAGATCCATCGAATTTTGAATGACGTAATCTTCCAATAATATGGCATGGTGACTCAATTTGAAATTTTAATTGTTTATATCGTTTATATTTGTAAAACGTTCAATTTTTGAGTAACAACTCAACGATTTAAAACGAGCATGGCAACACTCTACTGAGGAAAAAAAACCCTTTTGTCTCCAGCGCGTCGAACTTTCTCGAATTCTAAGATAGCTCTTAATTATTTTGCGACATGCGATTGAACTACTTTTGGTTTAAATGCAAAGAACATGATATTTAATAAATAAAGGTAACACACAAAAAGTTTAAAAAACGCCTCTTTGGATGTAATTTAAAATCTGAAAAAACATGATACTCAAAATCGTATTTGACATTCAAGCATGTGAATGATGCTTTTACTAATGAATTGAAACATGCAGAGCTTTGCAGAAATTCTTACAGAAATTGATTGGGAATCCTCTATAGGAATTGTTTTCTATGAAACATTACAGAAACTTTATGCACCTTTCACACACCACGATTCCGTAGAACTGGTGCGTTGGAAAATCTCAGAAATTTGATAAAGCCTCTATAGGATGCTACTCTACTGAAATCTCTAAAGTTTTCAAACTGCAGTCGTAGAAAGGTTTTAGTTTCTAATTTATTATGTGGTGTAATAATGAATAATTTATTATGTGGTGTAATAATGAATAATTTATTATGTGGTGTAATAGTGAATAATTTATTTTGTGGTGTAAGAATGAATAATTTATTATGCGGTGTAATAATGTAAGAGAAAAAATAAACACTTTTTATTCATAAGTGTCGAATTACTTTGAACAGAAATTTTGTCTTATACGAAGTAAAGGAAATTATTATGATTGCTAAAAATTTCGGGTATCCATTTCAACCTTTCCTAAATCCACATAGACGATTTTTTTGGGTTGACATTTGTACGTAGGGACAGAAAAAAAGACTTTTTTCTCCAAAAGAAATTGTAAAAGGGATTAAAAAGGGAATTTTTTTCGTGACGTCTATACGTACGTACATACGAACATATGTATGTACTCGCATAACTCAAAAACAAATAGCCGTAGAATTTTGAAATTTTGTACATGGGACTGCTATAACATGTAGTTGTGCACTTCCGTTTTATCGCAATCGGTGGTACTAAAAGCACAGAAGTCCAATTAAAGAAGTGTTTCAAACGATGAAAATATTCATGTTTTCCCAGTTTTAAATAAAAAAAAAAAAAATATTTTGGGCAAATAACGAAATTTAACTTTTAATGCAGACGTCCGTTTCCTATACTTATATTTGGAAAATTTTTATATTCGTTATGATAAGTTTAAAAAATTACAGGAGTTTGATTCCCGTACGGCAAAAATTAAGCGAGATATATTTAATTTCAAAATCTGCAATTTTTTATGTCATTTTCAACTTGTCTTGAGGGATCTGTTAAGTTAGAATAATTCGAAGAAATAAGTTTAAATGAACTGCAGCAAAACATGTGTGTTAATTTAATAGATCGTACAAGGAATTCGAGGTGTTCACTCAAATTTTTTATTTCTAGCTTAACGTTTTTTCACTTCTCAATTTATGTAACATTTCGCGCGATTTTTTATATAGTATTGCTTATATAATATCAATTTAAATTATAAAATTAATTAAAAGATTAAATTTATGCTGTTAATTATGAAATTTAATTCCTAAAATTAATGCTTTAAATTATTTTCTCGGTAAGAAGAGTAATGGTTTAATAATTTAAATTAAACTTAACTATTATTTAAAATATATTTATTTTTATTTAAATATTTTTTTAACTAAAACGATGTCAAAAATTTATGATATAGGAAAAAAATCACGTCTTTTCACATTTGTTAACATATCATACGTAATTAAAATTAAGACAAGGTTAAAAATTTCTATTAAAAAATGAAAATTTAATTCATTATTCTTAATTGCAAAAGAAAATTTTGTTGATTTTATAATGATTTGAAATTCCCAAAAGCTTCTATAGAATCTTTCGTTAAATGTTAAAACAAGGAATGTTGTCTAGAATTCTTCAGAATTACGGCACAGTTTTATGCAAATTGAATCTGATATTTGCAATAAAATTCTATCAGTTCATTGTACACAAGCTGTATAAGATTCTATACGGAGGACCCTTAGAAACTCTATTTATAATTTCATAGAATCTCTGCACAAATTTCTATATCTATACATATCTCTAGGAAATCTATATACATAACTATGTAGAAGCTATATCTAAAATTTTATAGAATTTATAGATCTCTAACCCAGTTTACGAAAATTGGATCATAATTCTGGAAACATCGTTTAACATTGGATTTTTTATAGACTTATGTAAGACATTTTCATAAGGATATACACCAGAGGTGGGTAAAAACCGGCCTGCAGGCCGAAGGCTGCCCTTCTAATTGCTTAATTCGTCCTGTTGTGAAATCCCGTGCAAAGACATTTTCATCTGTTTTCTACCTGATTTTGTACGCAAACTACCAAAACCAGCAACAAGATTGCGTTTATTGGGTTATAATACATTTTTGTCTATATATGCATGACTATGGCTGGCGTCTGCTGTAGCCAACTGCCAAAGCAGTTTTTTTCCCACCAACGGCAAGCACTTGCCTTTCCGACAGTGGCCACTCCTAAAGCCGGAAGTGGTAGCCATTTTATTATGAAGGCACCTAACAGACGGCCACCGTTGCCCCCTATGAAGGAACGGACAGTTACAACCATGTCTTCTCCGGGATTCGAACCCGGCTCTTCGGTTTCGCAGTCGGCACCCCTAAGCACCATGGGCGCCGACCACGACTATATCGCGACAGTAGTATTGTGCAAAACGACAGTGGCGACTAAGGACAGGTTGTTCCGCTAAATCTTGCCTTGCTGCAGAAGTTAATCCTGAATTATCATAGTTTAATTATATGTTATATTTAGCATGATTATTATAAAAGATCTTCCGCTGCATGACCTAATGCTAAAAGAATTTAATATTTCTTTTTCTTATTACAGGAGCCCCTCGGTTTCTCAGAAACAAGAATCTGCATAAAGACTTAAAGATTGTTTACATTAAGAATTACCTCACTAAGCTAAGCAAAAATTTCTACCGTAATGCCGAAACGAATCATGCTGCAAATTTTGCTGGAATCTTAAAACTACGAAATTACTCCAGACGATTACTTTTCAAAACTCTATGCAGCGCATGTTAAACCTATAAACATAATTGCTTGTTTGCATCATCATCTCTCCTACACACTTTTTAACCTTTTAACTGTCATGCCCGAGATAATCTCGGGTACAGGTGTTCAGCACTGGTGTTCGAAAATGTCACGCCCGAGTATTACTCGGGGTAATTTTTTTTTTTTTTTTTTTTTTTTTTTTTTTTTTTTTTTGGAGTGCAATCGTATTGTTTATAATCCCGAATAATATCGGGAGACGTTTTATTCGGCTTCATCTCTTGTCAACCCGTCTGTATATCGGGAAAATTAATGCCGCTCATTCATAGATGACATCACTTTACTGAAGATTTCAAAGGGTGAGGTTATTTGTTTCAAAGTCATGGGGTCTTTTTGTTGTAAAATAGCTACAGTCTTTGAAACGTTTATGATGATTTAATTCTTCAACCGAAGGTGAAGGTGTGTGTTATGAGTCAGTATTCCTGATACTTCATGGTAGCCTCAAAATAAAAAATGGAGATTACTCAAGCCGAAGATTGTTTCAATTACGGTCTAACTATGGGTGGTGTAGATCGCTGTGATCAGATTATCCTTTCACCAACAATCCGAAAACGTCAGAAAAAATATTATAAAAAATATTTTTACATTACTAGACAAGGACCTGGAACTCATATTTGCCTCTATAAAAATGTAGTTGAAACGATTACATTTTTAGAATTTCGAATTCAGTTGTAGAAAGCTTTTTCATATATGATGATGCAGCTTCTGAAAAAAGAATGTGGCAGACACCTACATAGAAACCCTGCCCTCTTACTGAACGACATTTTATACCCATTTTTCCTCTTACTCCTGCGAAACGTGAGCCTACAAGACTGTTGTTCGAAAAAAGATAAAAATGGGGAAAGATAAGGAAGAATCACGATTCTGGTGTAGTGATTGTGGATTGGTTTGTGCTTGGAAAGTGTTTCCAGTTTACCACACAAGACTGAATTACTGAACTACTAATAGGTATTCACTTATTTTATTTATTTTAGAAAATAATTAATTTTTTTTCATTTTTAGAAAATAATGCTCCACTAGAAGCGAACTTTGCAACTGCCATGTTGAGTGGCAGCCGGCTCAAAGCAAATACGCAGTGGCTACAAAACTTTAAAAATTTTACCCATGTACGTCAAAATATCAATTTTTAACTACTTAAATGTATTTTATTTCGTACTAAACATTTGGTTTTTGCAATAAAAAAATTTGACAATTTGTGTACTCAAATCATCAAAATAACTTGACAGTTAAAGGGTTAAATGTAGGAACATATTTTTCATTCCTTTTTTACCCTTTCTTTTTCTTTCAAAGACTCTTGAACTCTTTAATTTACTGAAAATGTCATTTTTTAGAAGGAGAGACTATAATATTTTTTAAACATGAAGAACTGCTGTTCTGAGTTCATAGAAATATTTCACAGAATATCTTTTACTGTAATAATATGATCATATCAACATGCAACACGTTTACTCATATAAGTTAAATCTAAAGCAACATGTGTCTATTTTAGCTAAAATTACTAAAAAGAAAGTTCTAGAACATATCTTATTAATTGACACTAAAACATGTAAATAAAACAATAAAACTTACTTTTTTTTTTTTTTCAGCTATTTTACAGGGCAAATATAAATTCCAGATGCATTTCCATTATTTTATGTAAAGGATATACATGTGATTTAATATAAGGAGTAGCATATCAATTTGAACTTTTAAAGTAATCAAAATGATAATATGTAAGGCCTTTCAATAATATCAGACATAAGTTTCTCTTTAAAATCTGAAACCTTCAGATATTTGGGGGGGGGGGTTAATTATTCTGCCTTTAAAGTGTATTTTTGTAATAGTGAATTAAAACCTATATAAAAGAAATAATAATAAAAATTTCTAAACGTTTTTACCTGAACGCTTTTGAAAGAGATAGTTGTTTTCATTTGAATTTCACATTCATGTTAAAGATTAGATGCATCTAAACGAGCTGGAAGTTTTTCCAATGTGAAGCCAGACTACCAATTTCTTTTATTAAATAACTCAAGTTTGTAAAAGAATTTCAAATGTGAATTTTATGTTACCAACCAAAAAATATTTCGCGCATTATGCTAAAATAGAATTCAGTTTACACTGTATATATGAAAGCTCACTCATTCAGGAAACTGACTATTAGAACAAACAAGTTATTCTAACTAGTTACATAAGATGAATATGTTAATTTCTTGCTAATACTTTTCTAAGGTAGTATCTCTTGGAGAAATAAAGTAAATTTAATTGATAAACTGATCATTAAAATTTAGAAGTACTGAAATAAATATAATTTTTATAGTGGTAATAAATAAAGGTTCTATTGTGACAAACATGCCTCTCTAAACTGCAAATCCGGGTGTTTTATTTATTTATTTATTTATTTATTTATTTATTATTATTATTATTATTATTACATGCTCCGCCCTGAGGCACTACACAGAAAGGGAGGGATGCCCCGGGGAGATCTTTTTAAGGAAAACTGGCTCGTATCCACGTTACACATGGGGAAAAACAGGTACAGGTGACGGAGCACGGGGACGCCTGGTGTTTAACAGGTGAACAGGCGTATGTCCCGCGCCCTCCATTATCTAGAAACAACAACTCCCTGGAGCCCCAGGAGGCTGCACCGGAAGTTCATTTGGATCTTAAATAAATTTGTTACATAGCCATACAGGGGCTATAACTGATGTAAGACATTGTGTGGGAACGTAGTACATATGATATATATAAAAATTACAAACAGCAGTTACATACACACTAACACATTAATATACACATTAAAATTAATTAAAAATATGACATGGAACATATAAAGCACAAATTACACAAAAAATAAATAAACACAAAGCGAGGAAAAAATAAAACATATTATCACATATAAACAGAGACCATTAAAAATTCAATATACATAGTGCGCTGTGCATAAAGCAATACGGGGATGCTTTTAAGTGATATGTAACAAATTGATATGCATATAGTACGGGTTACTTATGTTAAAGGTTGTGCATTATGCAAGTACATAGTCTATGCGCAATGCATAGTACAAAAAAAAATTAAATACATACAGAGTACATGGTGTACATAATACAGATTGCAAGTACATAATGCAGATAATACAGATAAACAACATACATACAGAATACATAGTGCTTTATGCGTAGGACAATACTGTTACATGATACGTGAAAACTAATTAATATACTTGATACTATTAATATACATGATACATACTTTATGGAGGTGCATAATGCGCAATACAAATAAATTACATACATACATGATACATAGTGCATTGTGCATAGGACAATACTAGTACATAATACTTAGGATTATTTAATACTGATTAATATACCATACACAATACTGATTGTTATGGAGATATTACGCTTAATTTGATATGCAGATAGTGATTGACATACATTATACACAGTACATAATACAGATCGTAGATTATACATAATACATTACAGTCACCTACACTGTGTGTGATACAGGTACATACTTCATAATACAAATTGCGGGTTATGCGCGTTACATAATACAGATTGTTATGGAATTAATATGCTTAATTTGAAATACAGATATATATACCTGAAATATGTATACCTGATCTAATGCATATACTACAAATTGGATATACGGTTTGGGTCGCATATGTGCAGTTGCAACTTGATACGCAATTGGTACATTATACATAATACAGATTGCAAGTACATAATACAGGTACATAATGCATATAGGTACGTAGTACAGATTATACATAAAACATAATACAGATTACAGATTATACACAATACATTACAGGCACCTGAATTACACACAATACAGATACATGTTACATAAACACGAAAACGCCGATGCAGCCAGCCCGTTCGCCGGGACTCGAACCCCGGACCGAACTACCAGTTACCAGTGTTCAACGTCTTTTACCGCTCCGGCCGCTGGTGCCTGTATGACACACAGTGTAGCGTGAAATGCGACCGACCTCTTTGTTTATGTGAATGTATTATTAACTCTGTTGAAATATAAATTTTAAAACATAAGATGCTTGCTCAAAGTGAAGTGCTGAACAAACTTACACTCTCCCCGCTTAAATAAACAACAAAATGAAGGTATCTTGCTTGAGTACTTTACTTTTACGTACACATTTTTATTCTTTAGAGTAGACTGAAATGATCGTAACATACTCTATATAATACTATCTAATAATTACGGCAGAAAGCATGATTAGAGACATAGAAGAAATTAATTCGTCGGGGACAAAATGAAAGATTCAAAGTGTCGTCTCATAAAGGTTGAATAAGATTTATAATTAGGGACAATAAAAGAAGAAGATAAAATTCTATAGTGTGGTTTTAAATATCATCCTAGTTCAGCAACATTTCCCACTGTCCTTAAAATAAATAAATAAATAAATAAAGCTTCCTTGAATTATATAACTTCTTGCAAAATAAATCTTACAATTTAACAGTCTTCAAAGATTTATCTTCAAAATCAAATTTAAATCACTATATTATTTGATACTGTGATTGACCAAGACCTTAGCACATAAATGGTGACAGAATAACTTTACTAAATTCCATCTTAATTTTAACAATGAATGCTTTAGGACAGGGATTCCACCCTATGCCCGCGAGCACCATGGCGCCAACCGATCGTTTAACGTGTGCCCGCCGCTGTACGATCACAATAAAAGTGTTTTGGTTTTCAATAAAATCTATGTAAAAGTTTTCTCATTTTTAATGAAATAGAAATTGCGTCCAACACAGATACCACAGCGTGAAATGCGACCGACCTCTTTGTTTATGTGAATGTATTATTAACTCTGTTCAAATATAAATTCACCTTGAAAAAGTAAATGGTGCCCGCCTTCCGACAGATATTCTAGAATGTTTCCTTAATGACAAAAACGTCGGAGATCCAGGAGAATCCAAGTGTCTCGTAACCTTCTTCTATCACTAACTTCTCAACGGGAATTTGACTTCAGATTTTAAATGCTTACATGCCAGAAAGTCACTATGCATTTATAAACAATTGTACCTTCTCTGAGATTCGAACCCAGCCCAATGATATGAGAACCA